GCCCAATTTAATATAATTATTACAGTCTTTTAAAGTGTTAACCACTGTTTGTTATTAAGTTATACATTTTACAGTTTACAGATTTGATCTAGCTCATTCCGTTCGGGAGATATAACGATTCTTGAGGCGACAAGTTTTTTTGAATGACTGGATAATTAAGTTTATAAATTATTATTATCACAAAATGCCAATTTTATTTAATTTCCGTTAATATTTTGTTAGAATTTTCATAAAATAAGTTGTTTTTAATTTGATAGACTGTAAATTACATATTAAAATAATGTAAAATAAAGACACAAATTGAGATAAATTATTTTATGGTTTAGTTACTATGGCTATTTAAAATTAAACTTTTAATTACATATAATTTTTAATGTTGTAGATCTTTCACTATTATTTTGATTTTATGTTTACTCTATTTGATCATTTTAAATTTTAAATACCGTTATTAATTACTTTACTAATTACTATCTCTATAAAGGATTAATTATTAGTATAATATAAATAACTAAATATATTTTATAAATTTACAAAATAATTAATTATCTATATTTTTTAAATGTATAACTTAATAACAAACAGTGGTTAACACTTTAAAAGACTGTAATAATTATATTAAATTGGGCTATTATTTAATATGAAATAAATTATATATATAATTTGGAATAGGTTAAGAAATGCTAAATTTTATTAATACATTTGTTAACATTTGTGAGCAAATCAATAACTTGAACGCTGCCAACAGAATTTACCCTACTGCTATTTTAGATTTTGGATGGCTAAACCTTAGATTTTGCAGTCATTTTACAAATTAATTGCACTTTAGACCTCAATAAACACTGATATCAATTAAAACAACAATTATAACATTGCTACTTAATTAAGTTTACAAATTAATACTTATTTTAAAATGTCCATTTTAATTAATGCGGGTTATATTTTGTTAGATTTTTAAAAAATAAGTTTTTGTTAAATTTGATAGACTGTAAATACTATATTAAAATAATGTAAAATTAGGCACAAATTAAGATCCATGATTTTATGGAGAACATAGATTTATTGAGTAAATTATTTATTTCAAATTTCGCATTATATTAATTGTATTTTCAAAAATTTAATTTCTAAAATTAAAACTACATTCATCTAGTGCTAATTTTAATTAAAAAATGGTTATATTCTGGGCTCCAATAACGCCAAAATATTTTATATAATTAAATGAATTAATAAATTTCTATTATTTTGTTGATATAATTACAGGTATTCTGTTTGATAAAAGACCTAATTAAAAGGCTATTACTATATAAATTGTAAGTGAGCTTTTAAAATATTGTAAAATTAGTAACTATTTATGAATTAATATAGATTGGATAGTAGAAAAATAGAATATTTTTAATTAACTATGTTTAATAATTAATTAATATTATTTACTAATAAAATTAAATTTTAAATACATGCACATTTTAAATTCTATGGGATTTAGTAGTTGATCAAAATTCTATAAGTTTTAGTTATTTAATAATTCTTATTTTAAATTCTGTAAATTATTAACTGGTTGATCCAATCTTTATACTGAAACAATTTATATCTTATTATGTCATATTGTAAACAATTTAAATCATATTGTAAAAGTGTCATGGTGATTAAAAAAGTAAAATAATAAAATGGCACCAATTTGGGCCTTATTAATCACTGCTTTAATTAAAACAACAACTATAACAGTGCTACTTAATTAAATATATAGATTACAATTTATTTTTAAAATGTCATAGATATTAAATTTCAATTAATTTCGGTTAATATTCTGTTAGATATTTTGATATAATTAGTTTTTTAAAAATTTGATAGACTGTAAATAACAAATTAAAATAGTGTAAAATTAGACATAGATTACTATAAATTATTTTATGGATCACATTTCAACATCACTTCAAATTAAACTCTTAATTACATATAATTTTTAATTTTGTAGATTTTTCACTATTATTTAATTTAATGTTTACTCTATTTGATATCGCTAATTTTAAATACTTTTATTAATTACTTTATCTATCTGTATAAATTATTAATTATTAGTATAATATAAATTATTAAATCTATTTATAAAAATTACAAAATAATTAGTATTAATATTAACATTTAGCAATTAGAAATAACAAATAAAAGTTAAAACTTTTAAAGGCTGTCATAATTATATTAAATTAAACTATTATTAAATATTAAATTGATTAACTTAATATGTTGGAATGGATTTCAAATTTACTAATTGATGGTTAATTAATAATTAATTTTTAAACATACAAATATAAATTTGATTATATTGAGTTTATAATAAATTATTTAGATGACAACCAGATTGTTTTTATTATATTAATAAATTGTATATTCAATATTACACTTATTATTTACTTATTGTATTATGTTGTAAAGTTACAACAATTATTTATTGTATTTTCAATGCATTAAGACATTGTTATGTTATATTAAATTTAAATTGAGAGCGTTTATATTTTTAAACTGTTTAAGTTTCTAATAATCATGATTAATTTAATATTAGATAAAATTCTATTGTATTATTTATAGCAAGGTACACCTGACCAGAATTATTGTACAAGTAAAATAAATCAATTAAAATATGGTACGTTAGACTTTTGTACTTTTTACAATAAAAACAAGTTTACAAAATGCTCTTAATATCAGTTTATGTGACTAAAAATATCATAGATAAATTTTCCCATATTTTCAATGTTAATACCTGGATAAGTTATCCAGAATAACATTTCGAGTCAAGTGTTATTTATAATATATTTATGGCAATATACCCGGTTCAGAAATAAAAATATATTTTATCAATAACTCGTGATTGATTTGATGACAAAATTATTTAATACTAGCAAGACCAGTTATAATGGCATTTTATACCATTTGTAGCAAATAACCTCCTAAAATTATATCTAGATCGTAAAATTTGTTGCAAAAGTAAAAATAGTTGTGAAATAGTAAATTAACTTTATTGATATGATAAATATACAATCAAGATAATTACTATTTTACACTCGGTAATTTATTTATTTATATTACAATATTGCTTAATTAAACCTGAGCACTCTACCACTGTAATATTTCTCAACTATATGTGACAATATTTTTATAAATCATAAGACAATTAGACCACACAGGAGTGACTGTTGTGCCCATCGTACTATTTAAGTGCATTTAATACCCAATTTTCATATATAAATAGAGCTAGTTTATTTTAACAAAATAATATAATTTAGTTTTTTTACAACAAAATAACTAATATTATAATCGCAATGAAAGTGTTGTGTTTGCTGTCAGTATTGTTTGTGGCCGTAAATTCATTGCCAGTCAATGAGTTTAATGGCAAGAATTGGGTGGTATTGGTTGCCGGATCTAACTCCTGGTTTAATTATAGACACCAGGTAATTTTTAATTAACTCTCTCTCTCTCTCTCTCTCTCTCTCTCTCTCTCAGTCTATAATTAAACCAGGAGTTAGATCCGGCAACCAATACCACCCAATTCTTGCCATTAAACTCATTGACTGGCAATGAATTTACGGCCACAAACAATACTGACAGCAAACACAACACTTTCATTGCTAATAGAAATTAATTAATAATTAATTTAACAACTATTCTACCCTAAAGGCTGACGTATACCACGCGTACCAAATCGTGAAAAAGAACGGCATTCCGGATGAGAACATAATTGTCATGCATTACGACGATATCGCTAACAATAAGGCCAATAAATTCCCGGGTAAAGTGTTCAACCATCCCAGCCACAAGGATGTTTACCCTGGTGTACCCAAAGATTATACTGGCAAAGAGGTTACACCCGAGGTAAGATTGTATTATTTTAATATAGTTTCGCTTTTTTGCAAAAACTAATACTTTTTATATAATTAGAATTTCCTGAAAGTCTTGGCCGGAGACCAGGGTTTGAAAAATGAGGGTAAAAAAGTTTTGGAAAGTGGACCAAACGATCACGTGTTCATCTTTTTTGATGACCATGGTGCTCCCGATTTGGTTGCCTTCCCCAACAAGTACTTATACAGCGGTCCGCTGCTCACGACTTTGAAACAAATGCACCAGGATAAGAAATACGGCAAACTTGTGTTTTATATTGAGGCTTGCGAAGCAGGTATGTAATTTATAGATAATAATTATTTTAATTCCAAAAATTTTAATAATTAAACAACTACATGCTATTTTATTATTACCTTATTTAAATAGGCTCGATGTTTGCGAACTTACCCGACAACATTAACATATACGCCACCACCGCTGCCAATGGCAAAGAATCTAGTTATGCCATCTATAATGATGCCACAGTCGGAACATACCTTGGTCAGTATTTACTTTACAAACAAATAATTACAATTATCTAGATTATCAACAAAGTTACTAAAATACACCTTGATTGATTTTATAACAACAGGCGATGAGTACAGTGTAAACTGGATGGAGAACGCGGAGGCGGCCCCGGCGGAGACTCTGCAACAACAGTTTGATGTGACCAAGACCAAAACAAAGGGCTCCCACGTGCAGCACTTTGGTGATTTAACTATCGCCTCGTTGCCCATCTCACAGTTTTTGGGTATGTTTTTATACAATGGGTTATGTCTTGAATTTAGGATATAGTTGTGTAGAAAAATATTTTTATTTATACTGTATATTAATTTTCAGGTCATAGCAAGTCGTCAGTTGAGGTGACCAGTGATGACAATACTCTTGTGAACAATAAGGACTTCCCGCTAGTGATGGCTCAACAGAGCGCTGATTACCAGGAGTTGTCTGTACTGTCGACCGCACGTCAATTCCTGGACACTGTGTTCGAGGAATACGTGAATAGTATTCAACACTTAATGAACGCAAACAATGATGTCTTTAATACTAGACTAGAGCTCAATAACAGAGAGTGTTATCACAACTTTGTCGACACATTCAACGACCAGTGCCTCAGTATATCTCAAGTAAGTATTTGTTTTTTTTAATATTTGTTATAATTAATTATTAATCTAATTATTTATTGATTATCTAATGATAGCATACCTACGCTCTGAACAAATTATACACATTTGTCAACATTTGCGAACAATTGGATGACTCGAGCGCTACCCAAGCCCTCAACCAATTGGTTCAGTACTGCCAACAAAATCTGTCCAATGGTTACCCGACTAATATTGTATAAATGTAAATTAATAACTAATTAATAAAATACAGATATTGATTATCTGCAGTTTAATGTTTAATAAAAGCATTATAATGTAACTTTATAATGAAAAATAATTTTTAATATAATAAATTTAATTGTTTATTTTTAATAATTGTAAAGTTACAATTAGCATTTATTGTTACTATTGTTACTTTGTGTGTGATTAACAATATATTTATTAAGCCAACTTGTAATTGTTAAAAATATTTAATTAAAATTATGAATTAGTTAAAAGTATATTTTCTAAATACACTGTAAAAACTTATTTAAATAAGATATTAATTAGATAGATTTGATTCATATATTAATATTGGATTAGTTACACAAAAATGTTTTTATTATTATATTGTTGAATTAAAAGTTTAAACATAGTTAAAAATTTATTTCGGGCAACTATTTTAGTTAATGGCAATAATAATACACTTGTTGATCTATAAAATACAAATACTAGTTATGTGCAGTTTAATGCTTAATAAAAGTGTAAAAATATATAATGAAAAATAATTTTTAATTTAATAAATTTTATTTTTATCATTACTAATGGTGTATGTGATCAACAATAACTTTTATTATGCTAAAAACTACCAATATTGTTTAGTTGAAACATATGTTAAAAATGTTTTATTTAAATAAGGAATTATTTAAAAGTATTTCTTAAATATTGTAAACACTGTACAAAATTATTTATCTAAATTATCAGCTAGAAAGATTAAATTCATAATTATTACATTGGCTATAACTGTAATCAATACATAACATGTATAGTTTATAATAATGTTTTACTATTTTGTTAAATTAAATTTTAAGCATAATTACAAATTTATTTTGGGTAACTTTTAAATTTTAGTTAATGAAAATAATAATACATTTGTTTACTACAAAACTTTGTAAGCATTTAATTTTAATTCATTACTTTAAATACTATTAAAGTAATTAAAATATTTGCAAACATAAGCGCAACAAAACAAGGTTTTCAATGAATGAGTAAATCATTTATATCTATCCAAAGGGTAAAAATATTGTTGTTTTTGAGTGAAAATATCAAACATTTTTGTTAACACTTCACAATTTTTAGCGTTAAAAATAGACACTTATCTATCAGTAGCCAAAAATACATCCCAGAGAGAAATACTTTTAAATAATTCCTTATTTAAATAAA